ATTAGTCCAAGAATAAAGAGAATTTCTCCGCGCAAACTTTCGATGCTATTGTGTCTCGTGTTTTTAAATACCTCCGACATTTTTCGTGCATCATTTTCGCCAAGATTCTCACTAAAGAGTATACACATCCCCCTGTTCTATTCCCCCAGAGAGGAAAGAAATCATCCCGTGGAAGATAATATCGACGATTTTATTTATGCAAAAATAAAAAAAGGATAAAGTTGATCTAATTGCGGTTGCGCGATTCGTTGTCGATCGACGAATAACGAAAAAAAAAAAAAAAAGAAGAAAGGTTTCCCCGATTGTTAACGAGGATGGACGTAAAACGCAACAGAAGAAAATGAAATCCACAATAGCGGAAACGGCGTGTTTGCTGTTGAAAATTATCGCGCTCCTTTTGCGGCGTTCCACGCATGGATTGGATCGGGTTGTTGAAGAATCATACCTCCCTCTGTATTTTGATTCAATTGTTTCGATAATTAACGGCGATAACGTTCCCGGTTGGAAACGGGGAATCAAACTCGATCAAACTCGAGCGGATAAAGAAAAATCGCGGAAATCGTTATTAATTAAGCGAAACTACGGCCTGCTGCGCGTGATGAAAATTCCTACGTGGAGAATTTCCCACCCCGAGGTGGTTCGAGCCGTGCTGAAAATTGCAGTCGACGTATCGTTCAAATGATTTCGCTATTTAGACGAATTATTAATTCACTCATCGGTTGTTATTACCGGCGTGTGATTTCTGTCCATCTCGAGTTCACTCTGTGAAGAGTGAATCGATTCAACGACTCTTTATCAATTCGCCCGTGGAAACACGAACGAAGAGAAAGAGTAAAGTACGAGAGGAGAAGGGAGAAAGGGCAGATTGAATCGGAATTATTTAGCTCGTTTCGTATGCTGTTTGTCTGCAAGATAATAACCGATTCCGAAACGAATCTCACAAAGATTCTCTCCCGTCACTTTCCCCGCTACTTCTTCGTCACAATGCCCTTGCTTCGTCGCTCGTAAAAAATTTGGAAAGGACCAAAATTAAATTTCCTCTTCTCTCCTCCTTCTTGCAAAGACAACACGAAGGCAGAAAGAGAAAGCTCGCCGAGGAAGCGCCTGTTGTATAATAAAAAGCTCCCTCTCTAACGATAATACCTCCCCCAGCCCTTTGAATACCATTAATTATCGTCTTTTCTCGGGTCAGCCCGTCTATCACGGGCGAATTTGGCCGACAGTCGGGCACAAAAGACGATAGTTTGAAGGAAAATACGCGGTTCGAAGGCGTGTAATACGATCCCCCGCCGGCCTCCCCGGATAGAATCACAATGAGAGACTTTTCGGTTTTCACAGGTGTCTGCTCTTCTAATTATCTTACCAATCAGATAATGCGACCGAATCTCACCGTTCTACTTTCGTTCGCCGGTTTCATCGTCCGCCTTGAGTCCTTTTGTCTTGAAAAGCCTCTTTACCGTCACCGGAGCGGGGCTGGCAGCCTCCGCCATCAAGCGTCCAAACTGCCCGGATTGAAATAATAAAATTCATTATCTGGCCTAATGCGTGGCGTTAAGCGACGGTCTAGAGGAATGGTCACTGAATTGTTCCCCTCGATGACGACTGACGACGAGTCAAGGCCTCGTTGAGTTGAAAGTTGGAAAGTTGGAATGTTGGAAATCTGGCGTGAAGAGACTGTATGGAATTGTGGCAAAGTTACTGGGAAATCGAAAATTCACATGCAACTGGCAATGCAGTTGTAGTTCGAATGTAATAAGGGAACGATTTCAAATAATGTGGAACGCAAACTATTACTGTGAATATTTACAAAACTGTATAAAATAGAGATAAATACAAAAAAGAAAAAAATTCGAAATTGAAAGTTGTACTGTTTTCTATGGTCTACGTGTAGTGTACGTCAGTGGTAGAAAAATTTGCGAAAACTCTCGGAATTTGTATTGTACGATTTTCCAACGGTACTGTACTTTTGATTCAATTTCTCTCTACACGTCGGCCAATAGAGAAGCACGTTTCTGTTTTCCCTTTGATACACGTCATCTCATATTGTCAATTTTATACAATTTCGCAAGCACTTACAAAAAATCAAAATTTCTTCGAAAGCGTATTTCCGAGTTACCGAGTTTCAATTTACAGTAATTTATAATCTGCAGCTTAGAAAATTTTAAATTTTAAATTATATCTGAACTGAGTAATTAGTAAAAATCGTACGAGACAGCCCAGTCCAAGTAAACTTAACCAGGAATTCAACTACGCATATTCCAGAGTATTATTGTAACATCGAGAACTACCAAAATGGCCCAAATGACCAATTTACATTATTTTTCATGGAAACTTCATATATTTGTAAAATAATGTATTCTCACCGAGACTCAAACGATTTAAAAAAAAAAGAAACCAAAACCTACTTAACACCAAAAACTATCAAAATGGTCCAAATGACCAATTTCTAATTTTCCATAGAAACTTCATACATTCATAACACGATATATTCTCACTTGAACGATTTTTAACAAAACGTGTAATTAGAAGCTTCTGTTCCTTAGACTTAAATTTCTTTGCTACAAACATTGCATGTATTATAAATTTCCTCCCCCGTTCCTTGTCCCCCTAGACTTGAATCTCTCCGCTACAAATATTATACCTCAGGCCCGCCGGTGGTTTCCACCGTTAATCAGCAAACAACGAAGGAACATTCTGCTGTAATCCTCTTACAAGGCCAATATCCTTTTGTCCTCCCGTTACCGACTAATATTTCCAACGATCGCAATAATTTCGCGTTTAATCGCAAACGTCTCACCGGCGAGGCTTTTAAACACATCGCGGCGGCGCCTTAATTAGCGACAAACACCGTCGGGTCGATCCGTACTTTCGCTCGGTGTCGATAAATCAATGATACCCGCTAATTCCAGCGCGACGACCTTCCACTTCATTTCCCTTTTTTCTCAGGAATATTGTTTTTCACGCTGGCCCCGCGTGAACTCGATCCAGTCCGACGAAGATGAAGAATGGCCCGGTGGAGCCGTTTTTACGTTTTCGACGTGCGCCGTCTGGAAACGAATAAATCCCGCTACGGTTCTCCAATACAAAACGGTCGTCGTGGATATTTCATCGAAAGCTAATCCAGTCGTGCGCCACACCGCGCATGGTGAAACTCAACGACTTTCGTGACGTTTGTGACGTTCTTCACGCCGTACTCGCCGCGATACTCTCGCATCTGCCTCTGTAATTCATCGTTCTCCGCCGAGGGACTCTGCATTTCCTGTGTTTTCCTTCCGTTGTTGTTTGCGAAGGAAAGCTGAATGTTCTTCGCTCCGATTCATTCTGTGCTTTGATTCTATGGAATGTTACTTGCATCGTATATGTTACCGCTTCTGTATAATGTAAAATCATATGTAATAATTCTGTAATATGTTAGATGGTTCAAACACATAAATATTAATTATTGCTTAATGTTTCCGAATATTTTCAATTAATCGCAAGATTTATAGATAGTTATTGTAATATCAATATTTTTCCTGTGCAACTATTTATCTGCAATATTTAATATATTATATTTAATATAGATAAATATATTGTAATATATAATGGAAGTTATTACAATAATATATAATTAAATTGTTGTATAATATCTGTAATATATCGAATTGTAGTATACATATGCTTTAAACACGTAAATATTTATTATAACCATTCAATTATGTATCTTATTTATATATAGTTATTGTAATATTTGTATACATGTAATTACTTATCTATATGAATACAGTTTTCGAGAACTTGATATGTAATACATGTAAATACTAAATACTGAATTTTGTATTAATATAAATAAGTACATTATAATGTATGACATGAATTATTGTACAATAGTTCTGTAATATATTAAATTATGACATACACATGATTGATATCGATACGAGTAAATATATATATATATCTTTCTGTGATATTTTTTATATTTAAATGTTCTTGCAGATAGTTTCTCTGTGATTCTAGAGTTCTTCTTAGTTATTCCCTATTTTCATTTACAACTTTTTATATTCAGATTTTCCTTTACACTTGCTTTCTCTTCCATCTATCCTCACGTAATAAATCTGAACTCCGCGTTCCTGCGGAGGCGATAGAAAATGGAAACGAGCCGATTACGAATTAAATCAAACGGAACTCGACGCGGCCCTGCCTCGTCGAATTATGATAATTCGACGCTCATCGATTATTCATCGGTGTAACGCCACCGACGAAATGGCGTCCCTTTTGCGACAGAAACGGGAGAAAATTGTCGCGGGTTCGATTCGTCGAATCGACGGAAGAACGAAGAAACGTTACAAAGACACTTCAGAAACGAAATTAACACAATATAAAATTAAAATTCCCACGAGGAATTGATTGAATGTTCTCGTCGGCGATGTTGAAAGTGCACTTTCTCTTCGCTCGCATCTTTTTTTTTTTTTCTGGCTGCACGCTCTGTTCCTGTTTCATGCTGTTAGCTACGTCGTTAATAGACACCGTCGATCCATATATCAGGCCCCTGTCGCCGATCCTCTATTTACATTCGAGGGTTAAATTAATCTCCAACTTACGGCACATCGGCGAGCTAACTTCAAGAGGCAGCGTAACTTTAACTTTATCCACAGTTGTAAAACGTAATTTCATCACGCGGGCCTGCCATCATCCATATAACGTCAGCTTCCTGTTGATCTCCCTCTTCTTCCTCTTCGCTTTTTATTGTGCGCATCGGCTAAGAAAAGTATATATCGATACA